ACCTCCCGCGTGGCGGCGACTGCCGCCATAAACGCTGTCCTTGCTGCCCCGCCACCGCCGATTGCTTCAGCGGAGACCTCACTCCCCCGCCCCTACCGCTCAGCGCTATCCCAGCTCCGCTCGGGATACTGCAGCCCCCTGGCGTCCTATTCCGCCAGGATCGGACGCTCCCCTAGCTCCGCCTGCCCGGAATGCGGGGACCCCTCCAATCCGTTCAGCACCTCTTCGTCTGCCCCGCCTTCCCCACGTCTCTCAGCGTCTCCTCACTGTGGGACAGCCCCGTGGAGGTAGCGGCTTTCCTGGCCACCCTCCCTGCCTTCGCCCACCTCCCTCCTCTTCCGGTTCTGGCCCCCCGCCCGCCACCAGAGCCTCCCCCCCGGCGTGCGTGACGGTCGCAACCAACAACAACAAATCAGTAACCTGTTGAAAAATCTTTTGATGAATCCAGGTGCAACAAGTGCCCTGTCCGCCCTGTTGAGGGCCGTTTCAGCCACCTTAAAGTGGACTGCATTACTGGTGGTTGAGAATTGATTCAATTTGCTTATATTTTCAGAAAGTAGTTGTCTATTTATTCTGATTTTGCATTTCTTTAATATTACTGAAAGACAAGAAATAACATTTGGATGCCATTATGACAATTTAACCTTTAATTTACTCCTTTAATAAACTCATTAAATCCTTGTTGTTTCAGTGCAATATGTCACGATTTGGTTTAGTTTCAAAAGATATATTAATTTCTACCAGGCCCTCAATTAGAGCTTTATATCAAAGTAGGCACAAGACTACCCATTTTGGATATCAAGATGTGTCTGAAGAGGAAAAATCTGAAAAAGGTATGTACTGGTATTGCAGACAAAATTAGAAGAAGCATACAAGCAGGATTGAAATTTTTCTACTTGTCACATAAATATTACAGATTCAGAGTGAAAAATTGTCAATACATTTGGAATCTTGAAGCTCAATTGTGCACTTTTATCAACATTTATCTAGGATGTTATTCATCTAGGGGGAATCTTGCAGCTCCTAAAATGACAGGAATGCTCTAGTTGCAGTTTGTTAGGTAGATGTAGGTACTTATTCCATGTCTGTCTACTATTAGTTTGACATGAACAAAACCGCTTTGTATTTTGCTAGTTGATGTTATCATGCAACCTATTTTATTGGTGGAGGGCATAGTGGTGTAAATGCACATTGTGCACAGGAATTTGCATCATGAAGATGGGAATTTGTCAGTATAATTTATATATATAAATTTTGAATAAATGTTTATTTTGGTGTGCCATCTTTCTAAGTATGGCTAAGATTTGCATTTTCTTCATTATAATTTCTAATTTCAAACATACCTACAATAATTGTGTATTCAAGAAGTTTTCAAGAAGAAGGATTATTTGAGACTTGGGCTGTATTTTAGAGCTGTTTAATTATTGATTTCTTAAAATGCAAAACTATGTCATCACTCCAGGGCTGACCATTGATCTCTTATTCCAAGATGTTATGAAACTACTTAAAAAGTCATCAAATCATTTCCTTAGCTACATGCCTCAAATTCAAAGTAGGTACGTCTTCTTGTGTAGAGAAGAGAGCTTGGGAGGGACAAGAAAGCTAGCAGGGTTTTCTGAAATTGGACACTCAGCTATTACATATGCTTGTGGTATACAGAGAAGTGCAATTCATGAATAAAGTTGATTAATGTATAAACTTTTTTGGTGTTACCACAGTTAAATTAAATGCATTGAAAAGTCACTACATTGGTCATGGGGAAATCATGATATTTTTACTGTGTGAATGCTGCAGACTCTCTCCTTAAAGTACATCGAAAATCATGCAAGGTATTGAATTTGCCAGTGAATTTACAAACTGCTGATAAATAATAAAATCATTATGGAACCTCATTGTGGAATGCCTTTCAGATTAAACAAATTAGTGTCAGACCAAGAATTTTAAGAGAATTTATGCATGAAATTCAATAAAAAATTTAAAAGTCAAACACCTGTTCGAAACTTATTTAGTGAGTATTTATTCATGTAATTAGTGGTATTATTCATGTATTCTTGAGTATATTATTCATGTTATCCATGTTTGCGCAACTTGATCACTATAAGAAGGAGATTATTCTCTCAGTCCTTCATCTATTCTTCAATTTACATTTGTTCATTATTATCATTGCCTAAACAATAAGAAAAGGTTTCACAGAAAACCTACAAAGTGAATGCATTTTAAGAAATGAAGAATGCTAAGATTAATTATACCTATTCAACACAAGAATGAAATAATGACCAAAGATGAAAAATGCAAACTCATCTCCAACATCTCTGTTCAGTACTGCATGATAGAATTGACTACCGTATTTCAACTCTTTTACAAAGATTTTTTAGAGGGAACTAATGTTGCAAGTGATGTGACACAAATAAGTGAGAAGAGGCCTTGAATAATGAATTATGTTGAAACGCATTTATTTGTAAGAGCAAAGCTTAAAAGTGCATTTCTGAGGCTTTGAAACAAAAAGTCTTATGGTATTATACTCGCACAGTGTTTATTGATGGGATTAACTCATTTAGTTTGTGACCTCTATCAACTTATGACCACATTTCCCAAATTGATGGTGGTCAAAATCCTGAACAATGTTGTAGCAATATTCACTTCTATATTTCCCAGAGAATGCCTAATGCCTTCTTCAATTCCTTAGGAGAAACATTGCTAGTCAACATTACTGTACTATTATCTTAATGACACCTAAAAAATGATATTAAATATCCATTTTTATTTCAGTTTGTGAAGTGTTCATGTCTGTTGCTGCAAAATATGACATGAATGGTCAACATTACTGTACTATAATCTTAATGACACCTAAAATATGATATTAAATATCCATTTTTATTTCAGTTCGTGAAGTGTTCATGTCTGTTGCTGCAAAATATGACATGAATGGTCAACATTACTGTACTATTATCTTAATGACACCTAAAAAATTAAATTAAATATCCATTTTTATTTCAGTTCGTGAAGTGTTTGCATCTGTTGCTGCAAAATATGACCTGATGAACGACCTCATGTCTGGTGGCGTCCATCGCCTGTGGAAGGACTATTTTGTTAAGCAAGTGGCGCCCGTGCCCCAGGCTAAGCTTCTAGATGTGGCTGGTGGCACAGGTGAGCCTCATTTATTCTTAGTTAATAGTGTAATTTACTTTTTTCTGTGTTATCTGGCATCTTTAAATATGTTTGATTGAAAATATCACTCTAGCATGAAAGAAAATGGGAATATTTTGTTGCATTGTATTATTATTGTAGAATATTAGCGAGACATAAGTAACATTAATTTCTAGTTATCATTCTACAAGGATAGTTGTGTGTTCATGCGTCCATCAAATTGCATGCTTTTGCTTGGTCATTTTGGCAATGTTTGCTGATGCTCTGAAAAAGTATTTAGCTATATTGAAAACATGAAATCATTCATTTATTCTTGAATTAAATATTCATAAGATGCCTTATAGGTACGTATATATGAAGAGTTAAGATGACTGACAGTTGATATAAATAACTCTTTAGGTACATTATCAGAGATTTCTGAGAAAAGTTTTGGAAACCAGCTTGCCTGTGGGCCTTTTCATTAGGACTATTAAAATGCCAGCTTGCCTGTGGGCCTTTTTATTAGAGCTATTAAAATGCCAGCTTGCCTGTGGGCCTTTTTATTAGAGCTATTAAAATGCCAGCTTGCCTGTGGGCCTTTTTATTAGGGCTATTAAAATGCCAGCTTGCCTGTGGGCCTTTTTAGAATTGTTGAGTTTTCCACCAATTATATACATTGTATTCAACAAACAGAGCTCAACTAGCCAAAAAAATTATAATGATTTTAAAGTAAAACAAAAATATTTGAGACTAAACTGCAATTTGTTTGTTTGCACTCAATTTTCATTTATATTTTTTACAAGAACAGGTGACATATCATTCCGGTACATCCAGCGCCTGCTGTACCAGCAGCCGCAGCACAAAGAATCAGAAAGCCATCCCTCCAAGCAGGTAATGTCTTTCCATCACATTTTTTTTATGTACTCATTACCTTCTATTTCTTTCTTGACTTCTTCCATCTTTTTGCTTGAATCTTGGTCAAAATATTTCACCTTCTAATGTGATTGCATGCTTTTTTATATGAGATATTTGTAGACTTTCATTTTTATTGGCTTGGAAATTTACTGATAACTAATGAAAATAAGTAATGACATTATTTATTGTAAAATGTACATGCTGCAGCCTTTACATTGGTTATAAATTGAGACCCACAAAAAAAACTCCTGTTCCTATAACCCATTTATATATTAATCATACATTGAGACTATATACTATAGATCAAAGTTGAGTGACTGATTCAGTTTTGTTCATAGCTGCTAGAAGAAACATCCTTGAATTTTAGTGATCTCTAGGGTTAACTGATAAAAAATACATATACTTTTAAAAACAGTCATTTGATATTTGCATTTACTTTCACAGATGGCAAAATTCCACTTGTGTTTCTTGCTCTTTTAGTTAAAGTGCAGTCCAATTTTATGGAAGCTTGTGCCATATTTATTCTTGTAGCTTTTGTTAGTGGTTGTCTAATGTTTTAATGTTTTACAGGTGACCATATGTGACTTGAGTGAGAGTATTTATTCTTGTAGCTTTTGTTAGTGGTTGTCTAATGTTTTAATGTTTTACAGGTGACCATATGTGACTTGTCTAATGTTTTAATGTTTTACAGGTGACCATATGTGACTTGTCTAATGTTTTAATGTTTTACAGGTGACCATATGTGACTTGTGTAATGTTTTAATGTTTTACAGGTGACCATATGTGACTTGTGTAATGTTTTAATGTTTTACAGGTGACCATATGTGACTTGTCTAATGTTTTAATGTTTTACAGGTGACCATATGTGACTTGAGTGAGAGTATGTTGGCTGAAGGCAGGAAGAGAGCCAAGAAGCTGGGCTACACGGGCATCAGCTGGGTGTGTGGTGACGCCGAGCAGCTGCCATTCCCTGAGCACTGCTTCGACTGCTACACCATTGCTTATGGCATCAGAAATGTTGTTCATGTCCAAAAAGTAACTTTGCAGGCCTTTATATATCAAGGATGTATATATACTAATTCATACAATTATTGGTTTTGTACTTTAGTGTTTTCTTTTTAGCGCATTTTCTCATTTATGAAAAAATGCACTATTGTGCTCGCCATGTCCGTCTGTCTGTCCGTCCGTAACTTCACGTTTTCGTTGACAAGAAAATGCACTCTCTGTCACTCACTGCAGTGAGTACTGAGTTATATTTTTTTGCTCATGTATCAAGCCTAATCATCAATTTGGACAAATATATCATTTTTAATTTCATGTGGCGCTATGTCAATCTTGACATGTACTGTATGCTGTCTTTTGAATTTTATCAATGAATAATTTTCAGCAATATGGTGTGATTGCAATGTGTTCTTTGGCTTGTGCAAGAACATTAGGTGCTAATGTGTTAAAAAAATCACTATTATTGCATTCAGATGCTTCGTATAAGTATTTATTCTTGTAGCTTTTGTTAGTGGTTGTCTAATGTTTTACAGGTGACCATATGTGACTTTAGTGAGAGTATGTTGGCTGAAGGCAGGAAGAGAGCCAAGAAGCTGGGCTACACGGGCATCAGCTGGGTGTGTGGTGACGCCCAGCAGCTGCCATTCCCTGAGCACTGCTTCGACTGCTACACCATTGCTTATGGCATCAGAAATGTTGTCCATGTCCAAAAAGTAACTTTGCAGGCCTTTATATATCAGGGATGTATACTTACGAAGCTTTATATATCAGGGATTTTAAGCACTGCTTCGACTGCTACACCGTTGCTTATGGCATCAGAAATGTTGTCCATGTCCGAAAAGTAACTTTGCAGGCCTTTATATATATCAAGGATGTATACTAATTCATACAATTATTGGTTTTGTACTTTAGTGTTTTCTTTATAGTGCATTTTCTCATTTATGAAAAAATGCACTATTGTGCTCGCCATGTCCGTCTGTCTGTCCGTCTGTGACTTCACGTTTTCGTCGACAAGAAAATGCACTCTCTGTCACTTCAGTGAGTACTGAGTTATATTTTTTTGCTCATGTATCAAGCCTAATCATCCATTTGGACAAATATATCATTTTTAAGTCCATGTGGCGCTATGTCCATCTGGACATGTACTGTATGTTGTCTTTTGAATTTTATCAATGAATAATTTTCAGCAATGTGGTGTGAAGTGCAATGTGGTCTTTGGCTCATGCAAGAAAATTAGGTGCTAATGGGTTAAAAAAAATCACTATAATTGCATTCAGATGCTTGATATCAGGTGACATGATGGTGACGCAGCATAGAGCAGGTTTTAGATGCATTATTACATTGCGATGGTGCAGCATAGAGCAGGTTTTAGATGCAATATTACATGATGGTGATGCAGCATAGAGCAGGTTTTAGATGCATTATTAACGTTTGAACCAGATTTGAATGCTACATCCTAGCTAATGCTGCTATTTTGGAGAACACTTAAGTTAGAATTTTTCTTTTTAAATTCTACTAATTAGTTGCGTTATTTCCAATTGTTTCAATTTTTAAATATATTTAAAGTTAGTGATTGATTTGTGATTATTTCTCGTATTGTAGCTGCAATTTGACCATGAACTTGAGTGATTAGTTTACCATACATCCTAAATATTCTCTCTTAGGAACCTATTATATTGTACATATTCTCGAAAATTTGTAAGTTGCTCAACATTCCTTGTTATAGCTATACAAATTTCAATTCATTTACTGAATGATGTAATTTTAAATTGCTTGTAGAACTTTTCTGATTTGAATTACTTGTTTGTACTTGATGTTCAGGCGTCAGCTTCTACTATATTTGTAACGAATTTTCTAGATTTCTCACAATTTTTATTATTAGTTTTGTATATTTCAATGAATTAATACAATTAATACCAAGTTTCTTGCAGTTTCAAATGTTTCCCTTCATTCGCATATTTTTGTACATGTTCCGCAAAATATCAAACATATTCTCCATTCCTAGATGAACACTAATACTGTCACTCCTACAGGCCCTGAATGAAGCCTACCGCGTCCTGAAACCTGGTGGGCGATTTATGTGCCTTGAGTTCAGCCAAGTCCCCAACCCAGTCCTGAGATGGTGAGAAACATTCCTGTTTCGCCTTCTTCAGTCCTAAAATTCCTGTTTCGCNGTTCCAAAGGCCGGATCCCTTGTGAATCAAGTCACGAAAAGTTCAAGAATCGGCTACAGGCCATAGGCCTATTTCTTCAACGCCGACACTTCTATTCTTCTATTCTATTTTATTTCTGTTCGCTGTGATTGATTGTCACATCATATTTCATTTCATGATTGATTCTCGTAGCCTGTTCTGTCAGTTGTCTTTCAAGATCAATCGTTCATCACATGATATACATTTTATTCACAGAGATGTTATATTAAAATATAATATAAGTTTATTTGCCGAGATGCTCAAATTGTGCCTGGTGAAGGGATTGACCAACAGTTTTTATGTACCTATTTTGTTCATGAATGTCCCAGACTAAACATTTGTGGCTTATCTTGTGTTTAAAAAGCCTGGGCCAAGCATTGATTCAGGAATTTATTCATAAATGCTCTGTACCAACCATTTGGTGTAAATTTTCTTCATTAATTTGCTAGACTAACCATTTTGTGTGTATTTTCTCCGTGGATCTGGAAGACCAACAATTTGTGTTAATTTTGTTCATGAACGTGTTTGGCCAATCATTGATTCAATAATTTGTTTATGAATATGGCTTACCTAACATTTCATTCATTATGTGTTTACAAGGGTGCTCGGCCAAACACTAACTATATATTTAGTTCTCAATGTTATCAGTTCTAACCTCGCCTATTTACACAGGTTCTACGACCAGTATACGAAGTTCTCAGTTCTAACCTTGCCTATTTACACAGGTTCTACGACCAGTATTCATTCAACGTCATTCCTCCCGTGGGCCACGTAGTGACCGGTGACTGGCACAGCTACCAATACCTGGTGGAGAGTATACGGAAATTTCCTGATCAGGTGATAAAAATAGCCAATCTTTTATTAAAGCTTTTGAAACTAACGATAGGGCAAAGGTTTATATTAATTGTAACCTAATATCAGGATGGAAAATATTTCTGCTTTAAACAACGCGTATTGTTTATTCATAGTGTGAACGATGAACATCGTTCACTAATATTCATTATTCTATTGATGCTATCGTTTGTTCTCATATGCATTTTTTGTTCATTCTGGCGAAATTATTTTATTACGTCTGGCGAAGCTGCGCTAGAGACATGCGAGTCAGACCTATAGCAGTCGGAACGGGGTAGTACTAGGCCAGGTCTGAGCGGCTGTGAGTCAGGTAGTTAGTCGTGTCCCGCCAGCCCTACAGTGAGGTTTTAGCCTGAACTCACCTCGCTTCGTTGCTCCACTAGCGATCTTGTGCCCTAGCACTAGTTACTGTGGCTGTGCTCTATATGCGCCATCAAGCAGTGTAATGTCCATCGTGCTTGTTCTGTCATATTTTTAAACGGATCCCTTTGAAGTGCTTTGCTGAAATAAAACTAAGTTTTACCGTGTTAACCGAAGTTTTAATGAAAGACATCCCAGTGCAATAATGTGCAATATAGCTCTAGCAAAAATCCTTGAACTTTTCACAAGATAGTTGCCGGCGTTTGGCCGTGGAGCTTCGATCATCTTGACAAGATTAAAAATAGCGGCACACGTCCGGTGACAGAGGCGTTCATAATCATTGTGAAGAATAACTGTATAGCACAATTGTGTAGCACAATTGTGCAGCACAATTGTGTAGCACAATTGTATAGCACAATTGTATAGCACAATTGTGTAGCACAATTGTAGCAGCATAGAGCAGGTTTTAGATGCATTATTACATGATGATGATGCAGCATAGAGCAGGTTTTAGATGCATTATTAACATTTGAACCAGATTTGAATGCTACATCCTAGCTAATGCTGCTATTTTGGAGAACACTTAAGTTAGATTTTTTCTTTTTAATTTCTACTAATTAGTTGCGTTACTTCCAATTGTTTCAATTTTTAAATATATTTAAAGTTAGTGATTGATTTATGATTATTTCTCGTATTGTAGCTGCAATTTGACCATGAACTTGAGTGATTAGTTGCTCAGCATTCCTTGTTATAACTACACAAATTTTAATTCATTTACTGAATGATGTATTTTAAATTGCTAATTTTAATTGCTTGTAATTTACTGAATTGCATTTACTGAATGATGTATTTTAAATTGCTAATTTTAATTGCTTGTAATTTTAAATTGCTTGTAGAACTTTTCTGATTTGAATTACTTGTTTGTACTTGATGTTCAGGCGTCAGCTTCTACTATATTTGTAACGAATTTGCTAGATTTCTCACAATTTTTATTATAAGTTTTGTATATTTCAATGAATTAATACCAAGTTTCTTGCAGTTTCAAATGTTTCCCTTCATTCGCATATTTTCGTACATGTTCCGCAAAATATCAAATTGATTCACCATTCCTAGATGAACACTAATACTGTCACTCCTACAGGCCCTGAATGAAGCCTACCGCGTCCTGGAACCTGGTGGGCGATTTATGTGCCTTGAGTTCAGCCAAGTTCCCAACCCAGTCCTGAGATGGTGAGAAACATTCCTGTTTCGCCTTCTTCAGTCCTAAAATTCCTGTTTCGCCTTCTTCAGTCCTAAAATTCCTGTTTCGCCTTCTTCAGTCCTAAAATTCCTGTTTCGCCTTCTTCAGTCCTAAAATTCCTGTTTCGCCTTCTTCAGTCCTAAAATTCCTGTTTCGCCTTCTTCAGTCCTAAAATTCCTGTTTCGCCTTCTTCAGTCCTAAAATTCCTGTTTCGCCTTCTTCAGTCCTAAAATTCCTGTTTCGCCTTCTTCAGTCCTAAAATTCCTGTTTCGCCTTCTTCAGTCCTAAAATTCCTGTTTCGCCTTCTTCAGTCCTAAAATTCCTGTTTCGCCTTCTTCAGTCCTAAAATTCCTGTTTCGCCTTCTTCAGTCCTAAAATTCCTGTTTCGCCTTCTTCAGTCCTAAAATTCCTGTTTCGCCTTCTTCAGTCCTAAAATTCCTGTTTCGCCTTCTTCAGTCCTAAAATTCCTGTTTCGCCTTCTTCAGTCCTAAAATTCCTGTTTCGCCTTCTTCAGTCCTAAAATTCCTGTTTCGCCTTCTTCAGTCCTAAAANTCTATTCTATTCTATTCTATTCTATTCTATTCTATTCTATTATTTTCTATTCTATTCCATTCTATTCTATTCTATTCTATTCTATTTCTGTTTGCTTTGATTGATTGTCGCATCAGATATCATTTAATGATTTATTCTCGTTGCCTGTTCTGTCAGTTGTCTTTCAAGATCAATCGTTCATCACATGATATACATTTTATTCACAGAGATGTTATATTAAAATAGAATAAAAGTTTTATTTGCCGAGATGCTCAAATTGTGCCTGGTGAAGGGATTGACCAACAGTTTTTATGTACCTATTTTGTTCATGAATGTCCCAGACTGAATATTTGTGGTGTATATCTTCTTCATTAATTTGCTAGACTAACCATTTTGTGTGTATTTTCTCCGTGGAACTGGAAGACCAACAATTTTTTGGTATTTGTTGTTTATTTTGTTCATGAACGTGTTTGGCCAATCATTGATTCAATAATTTGTTCATGAATATGGCTGACCTAACATTTAATTCATTATGTGTTTACAAGGGTACTCGGCCAAACACTAACTATATACCTATTTAGTTGACGAAGTTATCAGTTCTAACCTTGCCTATTTACACAGGTTCTACGACCAGTATACGAAGTTATCAGTTCTAACCTTGCCTATTTAAAATATGACCTGATGAATGGTCAACATTACTGTACTATAATCTTAATGACACCTAAAATATGATATTAAATATCTATTTTTATTTCAGTTCGTGAAGTGTTCGCGTCTGTTGCTGCAAAATATGACCTGATGAATGGTCAACATTACTGTACTATCATCTTAATGACACCTAAAAGATGATATTAAATATGCATTTTTATTTCAGTTCGTGAAGTGTTTGCAAGTGTTGCTGCAAAATATGACCTGATGAAGATAATCTTAATGACACCTAAAATATGATATTAAGTATCTATTTTTATTTCAGTTCGTGAAGTGTTCGCGTCTGTTGCTGCAAAATATGACCTGATGAACGACCTCATGTCTGGTGGCATCCATCGCCTGTGGAAGGACTATTTTGTTAAGCAAGTGGCGCCCGTGCCCCAGGCTAAGCTTCTAGATGTGGCTGGTGGCACAGGTGAGCCTCATTTATTCTGAGTTAATGGTATCATTTACTTTTTTCTGTGTTATCTGGCATCTTTAAATATTTTTGATTGAAAAGATCACTCTAGCACTCTAAATTTTGTTGCATTGTATTGAGTTAATGGTAATGGTATCATTTACCTTTTTTCTGTGTTATCTGGCGTCTTTAAATATGTTTGATTGAAAAGATCACTCGTGCATGAAAGAAAATGGGAATTTTTTGTTGCATTGTATTATTATTGTAGAATATTAGCCTTGGCGAGACATAAGTAACATAAATTTTTAGTTATCATTCTACAAGGATAGTTGTGTGTTCATGCGTCCATCAAATTGCATGCTTTTGCTTGGTCAGTTTGGCAATGTTTGCTGATGCTCTGAAAAAGTAATCATCTATATTGAAAACATGAAATCATTCATTTTATTCTTGAATTAAATATTCATAAGATGCCTTATAGCTACGTATATATGAAGAGTTAAGTTGACTGACAGTTGATATAAATAACTCTTTAGGTACATCATCAGAGATTTCTGAGAAAATTTTTGGAAACCAGCTTGCCTGTGGGCCTTTTTATTAGGGCTATTAAAATGCCAGCTTGCCTGTGGGCCTTTTTATCAGAGCTATTAAAATGCCAGCTTGCCTGTTAGTTCTAACCTTGCCTATTTTCACAGGTTCTACGACCAGTATACGAAGTTATCAGTTCTAACCTTGCCTATTTTCACAGGTTCTACGACCAGTATTCATTCAACGTTATTCCTCCCGTGGGCCACGTAGTGACCGGTGACTGGCACAGCTACCAATACCTGGTGGAGAGTATACGGAAATTCCCTGATCAGGTGATAAAAATAGCCAATCTTTTATTAAAGCTTTTGAAACTAACGATAGGGCAAGGGTTCATATTAATTGTAACCTAATATTAGGGTTGAAAATATTTCTGCTTTAAACAACTCGTATTGTTTATTCATAGTTCTGCACTTGTTTGACTAGTTTGTTGTGTCTATAAACAAGTTTCACGTAACTCCTGGACTTAAAGTTCCTATTGGAGACTCTAATATTCAATGTTTTCTCAGAACTATTTATATACGACGTCATATGTAACATCACCGTGGATATTACTGACTTAATACGATGTATTTAATTTACTTACAACAACAAAATTATTTTTCAAGAATTTCGATCCTTCAACTGACGGCTGGTCAGGAATAGAATAAAAAATGTTACCAATGATAATGATGTAAGTTGTTCTTACTCCATGCTTGTTGAGAAAAGATATGCTAAAAAATGCCCGTTACACATCAAATTAATTTTCATCGAAACGAATCTGGAAACCAAAAAAATCTGAATTGCTCTCTTTTTGTTCTATAACATATGTGTAGCATGCATTTCCTCTCAACCCTCCGCCAGGAACTATCAGTAATGCTTAATTATGCTTGGGCCATATCAAGTTATTTCAACGACAAGAAAATCATCTGAATCCATATTAACGGAAAACATAACATTTTATAACAATTTTTCTTTGGGTAAACTTAATAAGAAAAATTCCTCTCTTCCAGGACACTTACAATGCATTGTAAGTCACTGAAATGAAACAGCAACTCAACAACAGTAAAAGTAATTTCTTTGTTTAAATACGAATTGTCAAATAGATTTCTTGGTTGGACTTTTACTTAGAAAATATGGACTTGACTTTACTTACCGGCTATTAGGCTTTTTTTATGCGTGCGTATCTGGGACGCTTTGGCGCGGAATGCTTGGATCAAAAAAAGAATTGTCTCAATTAAATTAAAATTTAAATTAAATAATTAATTTAATTCAAATCAATTAAATCGTAGATCCCTTTGGCTAATCTTAACTCAACGTTATCGGGGTTAATGTTGCATTTCCCATTTTTATCCAATAATATTGCTTTTTGCGTTACTAATAAGTAATTGTCAACGGACGTCAACCTCATAAAGGTATTGGTGATATTGGTTTATTGAATTTGAGGCGAGCTCCGGTAACTCCTTTGTTCTTCTCTTTCTAAACCGCCCGAAAATTGCATGGAAATTTGTCAGCGAGATATATAAACAAACGCTTCTTATGTACCAACGGTCAAACTCGGAGTAAATTCCGACATTGAAACGCGTTTAGAGAAGCACTTGGCACAGAGATGATGAATATCGGGACTCAGTGGCTGAAGATCGGTTAAAAATTATTTACAGACAAGCTGCCTCAACTAGGCCTGGACAGTAGAGGCTGGTGACGCGTTGGTTACAGNGTTAGAGCGCTACAAGACTGGGTCATGGGCCAGTAGGAGCGCTACAAGACTGGGTCATGGGCCAGTAGGAGCGCTACAAGACTGGGTCATGGGCCAGTAGGAGCGCTACAAGACTGGGTCATGGGCCAGTAGGAGCGCTACAAGACTGGGCCAGTAGGAGCGCTACAGCGCTACAAGACTGGGCCATGGGCCAGTAGGAGCGCTACAAGACTGGGCCATGGGCCAGTAGGAGCGCTACAATATACTGTGAACCACTTGTAGCTTCTACACTAAGTGACGCTAATCACATCTACTAATTAATTATATTTTATTTCAGAAAACGTTTGCGCTGATGATTGAAGACGCTGGATTCCGACGTGTTCGTTACGAAGATCTCACATTCGGCATTACGGCTATACACTCTGGCTATAAATTATGAGACAATCTCACTACGCGTTAGTTATTTACAATTGTGTAATTATTTATTTACTATGTTGATTGAAGTTAAGTTCCAACCTTTTAATGAATCAATTTAATAATCCCCTTGTTATGTTATAGTAAGGAATCATGTAAATATTAACAGTCCAGCTATTATTATAAAAAGTTTTCAATACTTAAGACTGTATTTGCACTTTATCCTCATCATTCATGAGTATAGCTCAAGCTTAAAGTACGAGACCTCTTCAGGGGCCATACTTTCAAAACTCGCTAAGTGAACATAAGTACTTACGCTCTATTTTCTTGTCTATGATTGGTGGATTTTGCTTCAAAGGCCGTCAATGATTGGCTGATGAACTTACGATCTCTTAACTTTTTTTGAAAGTATAGGCACATAACCTCAAATAAATCGCACTCTACCGTTTGACATCAAAATATCCACGTTTTCTAAAATATTTTTGTGCATAATCGTCATTTTAAGTCCTCATTAATAAGTCCTTATTGTGCACATGGAGACGAAGATGCCTGCATTTTTTCGAGTTGATAATTCAATAGTATAAATTGTCTTTGTTAACAATTTGAATTCATCTCAATACTCACATTACATGACGAAAGTCAAATGAGACAATATACGATTAATTTCGTGCTACTTAGAATCAGCCATGGAGTTATACGAAATGAATTGAAATAGAATTATTTAAAGAGTTCTAAAAAAATGTGAGTGCGTTGTTAAAACAGGGTGGCCCAGTGGTTACAGTTCAGAGTACCAAGATTGGAGCAGAGAGGCGCGGGTTCGGTCCCAGCTCTGTGCGCCAGTTTCTGGTCAGAATCGGCGAGGAGGCCGGGCGGTTAAGCACAGCGGAATTGTAGCAGTGAGTTGCGCGTTCGAGACCGCAAAATGCTGTGAATGTTCTGCGATGTTTAGAATCGGCGACAGGCCTACGGCCTAATAAACGCTGAAACCGCTATTATTGTTAAAATAGTGGCTTCCTGAATTTCACACCCTGTGAACGATACCACTGCTGATACCACAAAACCTGTCTTCATCCGAGAGCAAATTAGGTCTCATTCTTCTTTTCTCTTCAACTTATAGACATTAGCATGTAAATCTCAGATATATTGGCATCGGCTAGTGGGCAAGCCAATTACTGCAGAAGGGCGCTGCTCTATACGAACTGCAGACGCGTGCTAGTATAGGAGAGAGACGGCAGCGTTAAGTAGGCTCGGAATATTTTCCTCGTGTTGCGGTCTCGAACACGCAACTTACAGCTCCAATATTGCTGTGCTTAAGTAACGACGTCGGCAGCGTATCCCTGGCACGCTGCTTGTTAGGCAGCGCACGCACTGCAGCGATGACGTCGTCAACTGTGACGCGAGTGAATTCTTGAAGCCCGCAGCCAAACGGACACGACGCAAATGCTGCCTGCGGAGCATCGGCCGACGGCGCTCGCATAGCAGAAAGTTTGTTTCCAAAAACCGCATGGAATTCCTCCACGCACACATCACCCGAGGATCGCTGTGTTATGCGTCGATCTCTGGCGCCAATATGACTCTCTTTTAGAACGAAGAAAGGCGACATAATTGCGCTACACATCTCGCCAGGTGGAGGCCACAGCAGCGGGAGCAACATGATTGCCGAGTGTGTTCGCCCTGTAGACAGCCCGCTGAAGCAGTCGAATCCCCCCGCTCCGAGAATAGACATTCATCGTCAAGCCATGGGTAGGAGACTCGTTGAGGTACCCGAACAGTGCGTGCAGGAATGAGGTTATCGAGTGCAGAGGTCAGCTCAGTGTTGTAGAGTTGCACGAGGTCGTTGACTGACAGTGTCAACCATGAGTCAGGCCGATATAGTCGGGACGACTGCAGTTTTTCGCGTAAGACATCGCCGTCGAGAACGCGTCACGGTCGAAAAGTAATGGTTTTGTACGCTGGCGCCGGGCGCACACATGGCACCGTCCACTGAAGTAGTCGATGGTCGGATATTGCGATCTCGATGATGGCGCATGGCAGACTTTGAAGGTCAGCAGGCGTGATGAGCACGTCCAGCACTCCGCCCATGTCGTGCGTCGGCAGTCACGTGACAAACCATACCAAAGATGGCCAGAAGGTCGTTCAACTGACGACCCGATGGGTCTTCGACGCGATCCAGTCAAACGTTCAAATCGCTGATGATAAAGAAATGATCGGGCAAAATCACAAGTCTGGGGGAGACATCGCTCAATTAGACGAAAAAATCGCGCGACACAGCAACCAATCCAGGGCGGTAGATGGTGGCTGCAAAGCCCGTAAAAGAAGCAGAGGTGACCCTAGCACATAGCTGCTCAAATGTGGTGGGTCGGGCGACGATGTCATGAACAGCAAGGTGCACGCCCCTGCTGGCGACGGTAACTACAGTAACTCAACGCCAGTGCGTCGGGTTACATACGTTGCTGCGCGCGCTCGACTACCTTGAGTCCTTCAGCGCGAAGACGCGCGATGCAAACCGAGTCAGCCATGGTTGAATTAATATTAATTAGTATTAATTTAACCATGGAGTCAGCGTCGTGCCAGGTCTCGGTAAGGAAGGCGACATCTAGTGAGTGCGAGCGACAAGTGTGAAGAATGTGAAGAAACTCATCAACCTTGTTACTCAGCGAACGGATGTTGAGGCAGCCGAACGAGAACCGGGAACACGGCTGCACACAGTGGCGATCTACACGAACGCTAAGCAGGTTATGAAGACTAGGGGTTCGTAGCCGAGGAAGAGTTCGTAGTACGAGGCTTGGTACGAAACTTCAATAATATCTATTGAAATTATCAGGCTCGTCATTCCAGCAACAACCCATGACACTAAGTAATCAATGTAGCAGGATTAAATAAAGTGATTACTTTGTTTAAGTACGAAAATATTAATGATGTTCATACAAATAAACAAGATCACATTTATCATGCCCTCTAAATCTCAGTGGGTTTTGTTAACAGGTTTATATTGCCATTGCCGCAGAGAGTACCGAGAAACGTTTTGACATTTTTCGCCAAATTATTAGTTCCAGTTGAAACATTTGAGTTAGTTTGTTTCTGAGTAAAGCTTGAAGCGTTCTCATGTATCTCTTCATTTTTCAAGTAAAATTTGAGGGACTTATCGGTATCGTACAACAGCGTTAAAATTCCATGTCGTTAACTGAATATTTTTCTTTTATGACAGCTTTGATATTATGAATTGTTTTCATCATTGCATATTAATTTTATGCACAGTTTTTTATATACCAAGTGTTGTACTTTCTGATAATCACACCTTGATTTTTTACTCTAAAATCTAAATGATTCATTTCATACCCAATTTGCTGAGAAGTAACAACATACCCATTGTTGAACTATATACATAAATATAAGGTTGACCCACGAGAAGTTTCGTCTGGGGCCATACGTTCAAAATTCGCTAAGTGAACGTAAGTACTTACGCTATATTTTCTTGTCTCTGATTGGTGGATTTTGCTTGAAAGGCCGTCAATGATTGGCTGATGAACTTACGATCTCTTAACTGTTTTTAAAAGAGTGGCTTGAAAGGCCGTCAATGATTGGCTGATGAACTTACGATCTCTTAACTTTTTTTGAAAATATAGTCCCAGTTCAGCTTTCTCGTTACGTCACTGTGATCAAGAAACGTAAACAAACCCGTCGTTCCCATGACGGATTGGTTGACTTGTTTGATCGCATTTCGGTGATTGGTTAATGCCCGTGACGTCACTGAGATCAGTGACGTCACAGGCGAACAACGAACTACATCCGCAAAAAGGGCTTCTGATGGGTCAACCTTATACTATGCAAAATACCCATCCTTGCATCTCATGTGTCAAACAGACAAGAACATAAACATGAAGGAATCAACATCGTATCTTGTATCAACATCGTATCATCTTGTATCATCACAAACAAGAACATAAACATGGAGGAACCAACAACATATCTACTCTTCTTCTCTTCAACTGCAGAATATATCTTTCCTGAGTCCATTCTTACGGACCCTTAAATATCATCCACGTTGATGAAATTCCTCAAGGACACAGATGCAAAGTCAAAAATATACCGGATGACTTTGAGTTCCACAGCAGTTACATAATTGTAATTGTCAACAATGGGGAATAAAATTGGTTTCTATTACTATGAGATTGAAGTGTAAAACGTTCAAGAACATCTTTCGACGCTTCTGATTGCGGAAGTGGCTTGTTATGCCACTCTATCATGCGCTGCTCTAAAAAAATCGTGTTCGTAAGACGCGATTACGACCGACATAAATTGACTTTAGTCCATGAGTTCGCCAGAATTTAAGAAACAACCACCAACTCATACACACTTCCATTCAACATCACGCCCTGAAATAAGCAAGCTGGGCGGAGTGTTTGTTATTGACGCGCAGGCGTTCCATTAGATGTTCATTACAACTGCTGCGGCGAACGTTACCCATGTCACCTGAGTTCTCCCGTGAGCTTAGACCGTAACTGTCACGGTCAATTATAACAGTCACGTTCAATCACAATTTCCCAGTATAAATTTGAGATATTCACTATTCTCAGCTCAGGTCACTTTCCAGTAGGCAGAGTTGCTACCAGACACATTGCAAATTGACGTTCTATGCAATTGCAACTAGGGTATAATGAACAGAGCAGAAAAGGTGAAAATGTTATTCGCAAAATTATAACAGCAAATTACGGACCAGGCAATAAGTCCAGCAGCTATCTCAATCAATCGTCAGTTATGGAAAGATCGGGTTACAAAGGTCGGGTCCCTTGTGAATCAAGTCACGAAAAGTTCAAGAATCGGCAACAGGTCATGGGCCTATTTCTTCAGTGCCCACACTTCTATTCTATTCTATTCTATTCTATTCTATTCTATTCTATTCTATTCTATTCTATTCTATTCTATTCTATTCTATTCTATTCTATTCTAGTCTATTCTAAATTACCCAAGGTATGCAGTATGCAGCAAGATAACCACTATGGCTTTGTGAGCGTCCTGACCGCTGTCATGAATGTTGTGACAATGAGCTGCACCGATCACCATCTCGTCGTCACTATTCTCCACCTCACTCGCCGATGCAAGGGAAAGCCGTTAACCTGCACGACCTGGGCTAATACTTTCAAAAAAAGTTAAGATCATACATATGTTAAATACATAAAATAAAATAAAATACATACATAAAA